TGTGTGTGTGTGCGTGCATGCGTTTTTTTTTTTCCTTTTTTTTTTTCTGTGTGTTGTAGACTGTCAGCACGACGACCCCTTCTCCATCCAGATGAGTAGATGCAAAATTTAAACAGCTTTTCCTCTATAGCAAACAACAGGAAGCACACTGAACCGTTATATTGCCTTTTCCTTATACAAACCTTTCTTCGCTTTCCTTACTTCGGCGTTCTCGGGTTTTCTCTTTTATTTCTTCTTGCAGCTTCTCCTTTTACTGTGCCTCTCACATACAAGGCTCGCCAGGTTGATTTTGGTTGAGTGCGAGCTGCCCACATCCCCGTGTGCCGTAACGGCCCACTTGCACGCTATGAAAGGAGGCAGAGTAAAGGGGGAGGTATACTCCTCGTCATTTCTTAGCGCACCTTCAGCTCATATTTTGCCTGTTGTCTTAATGATGCTCACTTGTATGCATTTAGCAGTGCTACACACGTGGAGGGAGGAAGGAAAGGGGGGCGGGGGAGGAGTTCTACACGAGGAGAGAGGGAGGAGGGGAGAGGGCGGACGGAAATAGGGGGGAATAGGGGGGAAGATAGGGAAGCTGAGGGACGAGGAATAGAACAGCGAAAGACAAACTTCATAGGGTTCTGAGTGCTCACCGCCGCCAGAGAAGACTACCTTCTTCCCCCAAATAGAACGCCCGGTCGTTATCGCTGCATCTGGACTGAAAGCTGGGCCAAATGCAGGTTTAATGACCGGGCGTTCTATTCTGGTGAAGACGGTAGTACGGAATGGCACAAGTGGCCAGTCTGTTTTTGGGTTGGAGGGAAATTTGAGTTGAGGCGCAGGCGTTGCCTATGGTAAGTGGCCATCCTCTGCGGACCGGGCAGGGCCAGTTGGGGTATTGACTGTGGGAACAGCGCATCCAGCTCTCCCACTTGCAGTTGCAGTTGCAGTTGCTGCATCTAATGGCACGGTGTAGACAGATGTCACGGGATACGTGGCTCCTACGTGCTAGGAACACAGAGGCATGCGGACGGCAATTGTATAGACATTACTGTTCCGGCCGCTGTCTACAAATTGGACATATGACATGTCAGGGTGTTGTACATGAGTACAATGTTGACTGTCATTAAATTTATGAAAACAGAAAACAAAGACTTGCATGAGCTATAAACCTTCATAATGTTCACAAAACAAAGCATGCCTGTCACATGCTAGCCGAATCTCAGGTCGGCCATCGCAGTGCGGCATTGAGCAAGTTTCTTGGGTTTCCTCAGCTGTATTCTCTCTTGATGGGCAGGCAATGATGGGGCGTGATGCAAAGTAAGGGCGAGTAGCGGTTGCAAGCAAGATTTGGTTGGGGACAGCTCATCCTGGCGGTAATAATAACCTTTTCAGTAAGGTGCACTCCTTTTCAGGCTGCTGTGTCTGTTGCTCATCTGGCAAAGATGGAGCAGATCCAATTACGGGCGCAGTCAGTCGAAGGACACACACTTTCCATGACCGCTTCATGGAAACAATGACGGCACATGGGATTTTGCTGACATTGAAATGCCAGCAGGAAAGTAGGCTGATGTTCGGAGTAATTCCGGCATGGCATGTCAAGGCCACAATGGCATATCGGGCAAGCAATAGCGGGGGGGAGAGGGGGGCTGGTTGAGTGCAAGACAACGGGTCACAGTTTTCACGGTAGAGGCTGGCAGTGACCATCCTGTTCATAGTGTTCGGAGCAGAGCTGTGCGGAGACACATGGCATGGTGCAGCCACCATCCTCCGGAGGGCCTCACTATACGTGCCAGAATCTCCATCCTCCGGATGGCCCCCCTCACTATCAGTCGAGGGGGGGTGCCTGGCCTGGCCGTGTTGGGGGGGGGGGGGAGAGGCTGCAAGTGTACATCTACGTACTGTTTCTGATGGACAAGCTAGATTGAGTGGGGGTTCTGCCTTTCGGTGATAGTAAGGGGTAATACTTCCCACCGAGTGCACCCTACCGCCGTTATCCCACAGGGTTCGTGAATTATTCACAAAGGTACAGCACTGAAACGACCTGGGCAATGCAGGATGCACACACAGATATTCGGGTCCATGTCAGGCATATAAGTCTGTGAAGTGGGCTGGACTTGCATTCGTCTTCCCACGAATGCCATAGATAATACTTCTATGTTCATGCCATGCCCGCCGCAGTACTGACATCCTCTGGGCAGACAGCACGGTGCTCCTCTTCTGTCCAGCGGACAATGTTTGCGAAATCAGAAACAGTATAGGGGTTGCAATTGTAAATGAGGAGACACGCATTAATGGCATGGTCCGCACAGTGGCTTCGCTGTAGCACTGTGAGATCATTTGATTCTGGAGATTGCACGGCAGGCGGAGGTTCATTTCAGTCTTGATAGTCTCTGTTTAGACTCCCGTGGCTGTATTAACTCCATTGGATTTAGCACGCATTCCAGAGAGAGAGCATCTATCTCCATTTGGGGGTTCCATCAAATGATCAGAGGGTGGCTCACTGGCTGTTGGTGTGGGGAAGCAATCGGGCTGAGGTGGATCGGAAGTGGGGGGGGGGTCTGATGATGATGCAAGAAGCAGAAGCTGATCAGCCACGCTTGTACTCAGAGTGGCTGCTAGTCGTGCAAAYGCTGCGCAGGTGGCTGCACCTTGTGTCTGGTGCACACACAGGCCTGCAGCACTGTAAAAATCATCTCCACATTGTGGACTGCGGACTTGGTATGAACTATTCCTGGCTCATGTGTATTGGGCGCGACGATGTCGTTCGGTACGGTTGCATGCATGGCTTCGTAGTAGATATACGACTCCGGCCGAGGGCGCAATGAGGATCATGTCCAAACGAAACCGCTGTCTGGGAGGTGGCGGTGAAGATGGGGAACGTCTCCGCCGAAGAGGCATCTGTGACACCCGATCTGACCATGAATGTGTTAATGAGGAGGAGGATGAAGAGGGGAGGAATGCGAAGAGGAGGAGGAGGAGGAGGAGGAGGAGGAGGAGGGGGAAGAGGCGGTTGACGAAGCGGATGATGTAGTAGAAGATGTAGCTGAAGGGGCTGGTGGTGACGGTGGCGGTGGCGGTGGGGGCACGCTTTCAGCAGCAGCCACAATGGTAGGATGGATGCAGGCTATCATCCCCCTGCAGCCACTTCGGCAACGTTTACATCGTCTGCTACGGCTAGCCGGGTTTTCAGCCGGAATGCAGCATCCACATTAGCAGCCGCCGTTCCGGTAGTAATAACAGGGGACGGCAGGCCCACTGCCTGCCTGTGGCTGTGTGGAGGGCTGATGTGCTGCCTGTGCTCAGAATTGGCAGTCGGCAGTCGGCGGCGGGGGCCCACTGCGCGTGGCTATGTGAAGGGCTGATGCTGGTTGTGCCCTGAATTGGTGGGCATTCACAGCGGGTGCGGAATTGACCGGCGCACCATGGGGTGAAAGCCGCGTAACCAGTTCGTAAGCTGGGTGGCATGAGTGAGCAGCCGACCCTGCCGGCCACGCAAATAAGCAGTCCAACCTCTGGCCAGGATGCTGGGGGGAATGACCCCGAACAAGCATATATGTTGTGTCAAAGAAGTCCATGCAGCTTCGAAGTCGGTAGTACTGTTTGAAATATGCTTGAACCTCTGTCCTGTAAGCACGCTTGTGGGCTGATGAGATGGGCCATTGGAGGAAGCACTGGGATAGCGTGCGTATGACAGGGAAAGTCCAAGCCTCAGTCTTATCAAACACACCCAATGTGAAGTGAGCCATCTGGCCAAACCGAGATTTTTGCCCCGAGGAAGAAACATGATGCATCTTGCTCAGTAGCGTCTTTCCACTTAAGACCATACCGAGCAGGAGATGGCGGAGAATTATTAACAGCCAGGGGATCAGCTGCTTGTCTACTGCAAACAGCAAAGATGAAGACTCACAACAACCCCCCTCCCCCCCCTTCCCTTTCAACCATGATAGCTCTACTAATGAATTTGTCGAGGGGGGTGGGAGGCAGGCTACGTGCGGGAAAGGGATCTGGGAATTCAGCTAAGGTCCTATTCATTGGGGAGGCAGGGACTTGTGTTAGTCCCAGTCCTTTTGAAGGCCCCAAGTGGGCTGCGTGTAGCGGAGCCACATCTCTCCCCTAAGTGCCCCGCCGTCTGCGATCAAACCTCCCTCGGGGTCGCCAAGCCATTCTTCAGAGAACTCCTTTTTGCCTTTTTCGAGTTGTCCTTTTAACTGAATATCTTTTTTTTTCTTGATCGTCTTCACAGCAACTCGGTCAGATTTTAACTCAGGAGGGCATTTAGTTATGATGAGAATGAAATGAAATTACTAATCGGTCAGAAAAAAACATGCATTTTTGTTGCTTTTTTTTTTTTTTTTTTTTTTTTTAAATAGAAATTGGAAATTTTATTCCGCAATCCAACCAATAGGTGGCCAGGAAATCCTGCACAAACAACCCGGAGTACTGGGGCCGATACCCAGTTTCTGCTTATGATGCTGGAAAGCAGGTCCAGCGTGTATGGTGTATCATCCGTGTATTTATGCCTTTCGCTTCCATTCCATTCTCCGTTCCTTTTTCTATTTGTCTTTTTCAACTCTGTGTGTGTGTGTCTGTGTTTTAGATTTTCCCCACAACAGCCCCAATCCCACCCAGATGAATAGATTGAGAATCAAAGCAGTCTTGGGTGCGTGCGTGTGTGTGGTGGGGGGGGGGGGGGGGGGGGGGGGGGGGGGGGGGGGGAAGAGGGGGGGTTGCTCTGGCCTCGTGGATGACCTTGCATGGTGCCCAATCTCTATGGGCATACTCACATCATGATTTTCCTTCATGCATCCGGCGGCATTTACAGCCAGATTCAGTGAAGAAAGTCCTGCTGTGAGTATATAACTGAACACACTCCATCTCTCCCATCTGCTGAAGCTGATGCACGCTCTCTGGTTTCGTAAAAACCAGTATTTCGAAAGGAGAATGCCATGCAGTATTTCGGAAAAAACACCAGTAAAGGAGAAAAGAATGCCACGCAAAAGAACAGAACGGAGCCTCAGCCATAAGACTGCAGTATTTCAACAAAAAAAAAGGAGAAAAGAATGCCACGCAGAAAAAAATTATGGTTTCGTTATGCGTTTCTTAAACTTTCTTTCGCCTGCCTTTGGATTCTCTGTCTCCCCCTTCTTTTTTTCCCTGTCCCACAAAGGGCAGTTAGGTTAACCCCCTTAACACTCATCATGTTGTATTTCTTGAACGAGATCGTTAACTCTTCAAACCATTTGGACCTTTTATCGAGAATCCCTTCGGTGATTCTTTCCGTCGTCCTTTGGCCCTTTTATCAGACCAAAGCATTCAAATGGACTCTAGGTAGCATCAATTCGGTGTTTCGTCCAACGATCAGGATCTTTCTCCTTCCTCCTCTTCTGTTTCCAGTTTCTGAATTTTTTCTCTTGACCTTGTATCTGGTCCTTTTTTCCTGTTTCCATTCACCCCATGGATGTGACCCTCCTGTTGTGTACTGAAATTTGCGCGGACTTTCTTTGTTTCGTTCTGGAGTATTGGGACCAATCCATGCAGATTTGGGCCGGAGCAGACTTCTTCTGCGCAGACAAATGCATCGCAAGAAGCAGCAGCCGAGTCGCAGACCCCGCCAGAGGTTGGTAATGGGGCTTACCCTGCAAATGCAGAGAGCCAAAAGGCATCGGCTCCGTCTTCATCGGGTGCGAAGGGACCAGGTCCAGAGGCTGATGAGACGCCACAGGAGCACAGAAGGGACCAGGTGCAGAGGCTTGGACAAATGCTTGGCAAAAGAGCAAGAAGCAGAGGGGGGGGGAGGTATATGGAGTCCGTGGCCGCAAAAGAGAGACCAACCACGAATTCCTCCTGGGAAGAAGGAACCGATGGAAGTCCAGGGACGACGGCAGTGCGAAGGTCTGATCGTGGTCATCAAGAGCCAGAGAATGACAGTGATTGGCTTGGAAGGAGGCGAAGGCTAGAGAGAGCCCATGGCAGACTGCAGGAAGCTGCTCTTCAGTCACATTTGCTGCCACCCACTGGATCGCTAAGCAAACTGCCCCTTGAAGGGGGTGCCAATACCCTTGGTTTGATGGCATCTGACAGGTAATCATCATTGCTTGAACCGTCATCATCATCATCATCATCATCATCACTGCCGAGCATTGTCATCGTCATCATCATTGTTGCGATTATCATCATCATCATCAGCAGCGGTAGCAGCATGAGCATGAGCATGAGCATCATGATCATCAGCATCAGCATCATCCTCATTGTCCTCATCATCGTCCTCCTCCTCCTCCTCCTCATCATCATCATCGTCTTCTTTATGATCTCCTATCCATCACCCCGCTAAACTACCGTCTTACATGATAGATCGATTACGCATCACAACTTCTGTAATCTATTCAGGATTCCTGTCAAAAGAGAAATAGGACAAAATTCAAAAAAATCAAAAAATTCATTCTCCCCGCCCAAGTGTCAGAGATACATGTGATCATGCTCATGAGTTGTACTCAGTGGGCAATATGGTTTAGGGATCAGCTGATCTGGCTGGCGAGGAAGGCAGGGGGGGGGAAGACGGGGGGAAGAGGGGGGGAAGAGGGGAAAGAAACAGTTGAAGAATCTTATTGCTGTCCGGTCGCCTCTCCTTCATCGGGGCGATCTTCGTTGGGAGGTGTGGATCTGGATTTCGTAAAAAGAATCGAAAACAAAAGGGCGACAACCGTGTCAGAAGACATTGCCTTTTCCTTGGGGGGGAGAGGGGGCTTGTGTACTTTTTTTTTTTTTTTTCCGTGGGAGTCGTTGATGCATTGCTATCTAACTGCCTCTCCTTGACGCGCGGTTATCTTCCCTTGGAGGCATTGCTTTAGGAAGAAAAAAAAAATTGAAAAGGAAATGGCAGCAATCATGTCAGAAGACGTCGCCGTTTTTTTTTTTCTTTAATTTTTTTTTTTTTCAGTAGTGTTGCTTCTGGTTTTCGTTTTTGCACGGTCTTTCGCCTGTTTGTGTTTCCGTTTTGCTGTTCGTGTGTTTTTTCTGCTTTACTTTTTTGAAAATCAGTTTTTTAACTTTCAATTTTTGAATTTAAGTAGCCCTATTTAAACAAGGAAAGTTGAGAAGGGGCATGGGATGGGCGAAAGGATTCGTTCGACTCTGTTGTTCCCCTTCCCCTCCTCCTATTATTACCCCACTATCGCACTTCCCCCCCCCCTACCCCCACCCTCCTCCCTCCTTTCTTTTTGCCAGATTTGAGTAGGCGGAGATTAAAATACATCATAAAATTACATAAATATTAACTATTATTAAATATAATTGCAAATTTGCGTACAATATTTAGAATGTGCAGAGAATATTCAGTGATTGCGTACAATATTTAGAATGTGCAGAGAATATTCACTGACTCGTCACTGAACCGGAAAGCACAGAGATGTCTTGAGAAACTGGGCGCTGACTTTTATGCGGTTGTTCTGGGGGTTGTTATGGGTGGCAGCTTTCCCAGCGATCCCGATTTTCCAATGCCAGGTATGAGGAGGAGAAACAGACCTTTCACTCCTCAAGAAGAGGACAAGCTCAGGGTGAGTCAATGGCGAGCACGACATAGCTGGTCTGTGATGAACATGGATGGCTAAGTGGCCCAATTCATTTCCTTCCCTCCGAGTTTGAGGGGTCCAATAAAACAATTTTATTTTGTTAAATTTAAAATTGAGTTTAATACACTGAAATTTCAAGAAGAGGACAAGCTCAGGGTCGGTTAGGGGGGGGGCTCTGCATGCATGTTGCCTGCTGAATGCTGAATGCAGGTCATGTGATATGTGCATTGTTGGGGGCTCTGCATGTTTGTTGCCTGCTGCTGTGATGTCTGCTGCATGCATGGCGAGATGGGATGGAAGAAGAAGGGATGGATGGCGAGATG